TCGTCGCGCCAACTCCGATGCGCAACTTCAACTACGCCGACTTCGCCCATCGACTTAGCCGTCAGATGCTGGAGATCCACGCTGCCAACACGCGTCATCAACACGTTGCCGCTTACATACCTAGAGACCTTTCGCGGTGCACACACATTTTTCTTCGCGTTGATAGCACGCGTGCACCTCTTCAATCGTCGTACACCGGCCCCCATCGGATGATCTCCTGAAGGATAACACCGCGGTGATTGACGTTAAAGGTAGGAGGGAAACGATTAGCTTAGATCGCCTTAAGCCTGCTTTCCTCTATAACGACGCCTAGCACGTTTCTTTTACTGCACGCAGTGACCCAGTGCCGCGTCCCCCGCCTCCTCCTACGGGTCCATCCCAGACCCTAAGTACTCCCCCGGTGCCAACCCCTATACTGGTCAAACGCGACCGTCGTGGTAGCGAAGTCCGCCGACGAGTCCGTTTTAACTGTTAGCTACCCCATTTTTATTTTCGCGGCTCGTGCAGAGGTTCCGCTTCACGCGATTTTTTCTAATCTTTGTATTTGTCTGTATGTTTTACAGAAAACAACACAAAAAAAACCTAAAAATTTGGAAAATATCCAAAACCCTAAAAACGACAAATTTCCAAACTCCAAAAAATGCTTCATACGGTTTTTGTGGTTCCGCCATGCTCTCTTCTCCACCCCCACACTTACCTTCTGCCAACAGCTATAGCGCTGTTAGACTCGCCATCTCCCCTTCTGTTCCAGAACAGCGTCCACGAATGGGATCGTCAGAAGCTCGCACCTCATGGAACCAACGTCTAATCCGGCTTGGGGAACGCATGCGCGAGGAGTGAGGTGTGTGGGGGGAAAAGGCTATTTCTATTCCACCGTCCGACGCCCTTCGCGTTTTGGCAGGCCAGGTCTTTTTTCTGGTTTGCCCCGGCCAGTTTTTTTATTGACCCGGCAACCCACGTGGACGGCCCCACACACCCGGCAGAAGATACACCATTGTGCCGGCGATATCTGGGCTACGAGCGAACCACTCTGTGTCTTGCAGTCCTCCTTGTTGTCTTTTCTTCAGCGCACGTAGGACACCCAGAGCCTTTTTCCCTTCAACAAGACGGCGTTTTACTGTCAGCTGCTGCAGTAGCACTTGAACTGGAACGTTTAACCACCTGGTTCCGCCTGGCTCCTCAATCGTCTCGACAACCTGTCCTGACCTTCCGGAACTTCTACATCACGCAGCCTCTGCATGACATACACACACATACCTGTGCTGACCATTGCCACAGACTGATTGACTATTGGATCCTCGTATACTGTACACTCAGTCGCGTTACCTACACGCATATACCGTGTTTATTTGACTATTCGAAGGTTTGCCGCTCCTCTCCAACCCTCTAGGGGGTAGCTGTGTAGTAACATTTTTTTCACTTACCAACATCATTCCCCTGACTCATGTAAAGACCCTATTTTGTTTTGTTGCCCTCCGTTTCGAGAACACATATGACCTCGAACCTGGCACGAATTCCGGTGAGTTGTATCGTGCACTCTGGGAATAGTTCGATAAGCCCAATTGATTGGATTCGTAAACGCGTGTCAACTTCGGACCTACTTAGTGTGCTAAACCACAATTTCGTCGTGTCATATCAATCTCACTGATACACCCCAGTCCATTTTTCCTCCGCATATATATATGTTTATATATATACATATATATTTATATATATATATACCTTCAGACATTAAACCTCTCTGCATATTCTTTCGCAACGTGCTGTTTCTCCCACTTTACACTTATCAGCTGGGTATTTCTCCAGACTGCCAAGTTTCACCTTTTTTATTTCAGATTCGGTTGGCTGGGCCTACGGAAGGCTTGGGGTCTACACCCACAATGGACAATCTGGCTCCGGAGATGGTTGTTGGGCACGGTTGTATCCACCGTTTAGACTACGTTCGTCGCATTCCGGACCAGGTTGAGGATCACATCCCCTGCCTCATCTACAAGGTGTTCTAAGGTTGGGTGTCTAGAGTGTAGTCAGTCCCACATCAAAGCGACGAACGCCTTAATAACATGATTAATATAAACTAGTCATCCGTGAACGGTGAAGCTCCGATGCCCTTTACTCCTTGTTCACGAAGTCAGTCCATCTATATCGATCCTTGAAACAGTTTATTTATGATCCATTTGTCGTCCTACTGAATTCCGTTTCACTTCCTTGGTTCGACCGCAGCGCTTCCTCTGAAATTCTAAAGCTTTCTCGTTCACTACCCTCCTTCTATTCTCCGAACTCGTTTTCGCACATTATCTCTCGAGCGGATATTTTCACCTCCAGTTATGTGTCTTCCTTAGTGTTCTTCATTTGATAATCGTTTACATTGATGTGATCTCCCTATCAGATCACCCTCAGTACTGCATTATATGGCCTTGTCCGCTTTGTGTTTCTTTTTCACCGCAATGCATGGTTCAGTTCAGTTTCTGCAGAACGATGTGTGGCCCGGGACAATCTTGCGTCCAGATTGATGTTTTGTTAGCTGTTCTTGTGGCTTCCAACACTGCGAGTCAATAGGTTTTTTTTCTGAAAGGCAGAAAGTAATGTGCCGTATCACGTCCTGGGCAATGGCGCTCAGGACTAATAGGTACTTACCATCAAACTGTTTCAGGGAAGGTAGAAGCCGAACAGTCGTCTAATGCCCTCTTGAAGGCTATGACGTTCGAGCAACTTACCACATTTTCAGGCAGACTATTCCAGTAAGGTATTACGCTACTTGTAAAGAACTTGGCTCGAATGTCCAGCCTTACAAGACTACGTTGCAGCCTTAAACTATGTCCCCTAGTACCACTTGAGGGGATGAAATGGAACATGTCCTCAAGCTGAATTCCGGAGAGACCGTTCATGATAGTAAAGGCTTCTCTGAGATCCCCCCTTGCTCTCCTTTTTGCCAGAGAGAATAGGTTAAGGTCCTTGAGTCTCTACTCGTAGCTCTAACCTCTTTGTCCCGCCATCATCCTTGTAGCCAGGCGTTGCACTCTTTCTAGACATTCAATGTCTTTCCGAAAGTAGAGTGCCCTTGCATGAAAATAATTTTCCAGATGAGGCCTGACTATGGATTTGTACAGAGGGACGAGAACCTTGGGTCTCCTACACGTAATCGTAGAGTGTACACGAAAGACTTCCCTTTGAGCTATGTTGGCTGCCCTCTGACATTGTTGAGAGGGTTTGAAGTCGTAGGGTATAATCTCTCCCAGGTCCTTGAGTTCGCCCTCTCTCTTAAGCTGGATTTCAGTCTGTATGTCAAGTTCAGCTTCTGCTGTTAGAAGCTGACACTAGGCTAGGTTAAGCGGAAGATCCCACTTTTTGGACCACCGTATAACAGCCTGCAGGTCCTGATATACGTTCGTTCCAGTCACTTTGAAGTCGTCCGCGAACATAAAGCACGGGTTGTCCATTTCCCGTGGTAGATCGTTGACAGACATCAGGAATAGCAGTGAGCCATCACAGAACCCTGAGGGACATGTTGGCCGGCACCAATAATTGCATACCAACCTTGACCTTGAAGGTGCAGTTAGTTATAAAGCAGTAGACCCACTTTCTAACTTTTCCCCCAATTCCTAATGGTTGCATTTTATGGTCTAACCCCTGCTGACTTACCGAGTCAAAGGCTTTGCAAAAGTCCAGGTAACAGACCTCGACATGCTGTCCCTCGTCTACGCGTCGCGTGACCTCATCGAGAAAGGCAAGCAGATTGGATAGACAAGACAAGTCATGTTGAGCTGGCGTTAGTAGCTCATGCCCTACGAGGTCCAACGTCAGATTCACTAGCCTGTAGTATTTGGCCTTTTGCCTTGACCCAGATTTATGCAGAGCAACTACCGTCGCTCTTTTCTAATCTCCTGGTATCTCACCTTTATCTAGAGATGCCTCAAACAACTTTGACAGAGTCTCTTGGAGCATCTCCGCTAGAGGTTTAACAATAGCGGGATGGATGCCATCCTGTCCCGCTCCCTTGAACCCATTCAGGGTAGCTAACTCGTGAAGGACTTTGCCTGGTGTCACGGTTATTTCATTCAGCTGTGATGTCGCACTGGGATAATCTGCCATAACCAACGGCGCTGGCTGTCTGTACACCACCTTAAAGAAAGCCAGAAGGGTATTTGCTTTGTCTTCCTCGCTTAGGGCAAGATATCCATCAGTGCTTTCTAACGTTCCAATTCCCTCTCTTGATGCCTTTTGGGATCGGACGTAAGCATAGAACCTCTTTGGGTTCTGTTTTGCTTTTATCGCAATCCCATGCTCGTAGTCGTACCTGGCCCCTCGCTGCATAGACTGTGCATGGTTTCTTGCTGCCTTGTAGCTACACCATGCCTGATACGAACTGAGCCGTTTGTAAAGCGCCCACCTTGTGGCCAGAGCCCTGTCTAAACATGGTTTCCACCATGGTAGCCGTTGTTTGAGTCTCCTAGGCCTCAGGGGTGGAAACTCTTCGGTGGGCCTCAGAAAACTATCTTTAATTGCAGCTCATCTCTCTTCGATGGTAGGATCAGCTGTTGACGGTTTCCAGCTTAAACCTAACGCTGCCTCTTGAAGACCGCTTTCTTGAACATTCCCATACAAGTGAACCATTTTGATCCCTGGCTTAGTGTACTGTGCAAGTACTTTTAGCTGAAGGACCACGTGGTCGCTTCTGCCTGGGGGACCGCTATCCTGATAGTAACGACATCTGACCTTGCTCGAGAAATATCTAAGTCAAGCATTGAGGACCTCTGGCTGAAACGGGAACGAATGGGTCCCCTTATATGCTGCACAAGCGCATGCGAATTGATCCACTCCAGTAATTCTCTCCCCGTAGTTCCTCTAGGAGCTCGTTCTTCTTCCCAAGCTATTTCAGGAAGGTTTAAATCGCTGACGATGAGAAACATATGGGCCCTTCGAAGCACCTCTTGTAGGGTACGCATCAGTTCATTATTCTCAGTCGCCGTTGAGTCGGGTGCCCTATAAACGCATACAATGGCTATAGGTCTCGATCCAACCCTTAAGTGGCAAGCAGTAACCTGAATATTGGGATTAGCCAACTGCAGTGGCCATTCCCATTGATGACAGATAGTCCGCACAGCTAAGAGGACTCCGCCCACTGGCATCCAATCTATTCTATCTTGTCTGTATTCGGTACACTCCTGAAGACCCAGAACCATATCTTCACTCTTGAGCTAAGTCTCAGTGACAGCAATGACATCTGCTTCTGCTGTCCTGGTCTTTAGATCCCCCATTTTCCCCGGAGGCTGCAGGCATTTGTATACCAGACAGCCACATCACGGGAACCGAGCTTCATTTCGTTCGGGTCGTTTCTTGTTGGGGTACCCTGGGGCGTAAGAACAGAGGGAGAGTTAAGTTTTCGTTTTAATGGAGGGTGATTTCGGAGTCACCTTCACATCCCATTTAATGCTATCATTCCTAATTCTGATGTCTTCAACGCTGAAGTCGTACTTCACTCCATTTTCTGAGGTAGACGGCGACTGACCTTTTATTAATGCATCTTGCACTGATAGCCTCAGCCTTGTTGTCAACGTATTTGCAACAACAGTTGCCCAACTGTCCGACCTAGGGCTTTGAGTGCTTAGAATGTTTTTCTTCACCGAGGCGGGTGCGAAAATCGGAGCGTATTTTATCTGAGCACTTTTTATCGGAGCCTCGCGCGTGGTATTGCTCTTTTCTTTCAAATGAAGGCATCTATGCGCATCATTTATTCTAGTTTTAATGGGCTTTGTTTCTTTTGAACACTGATACCTCTTCTTTGGCTCATTGCTAATAGTGGCACCTCTCAGTTGGCCCACCCCTGGCAATTTTGCAATTTTGGGCGTAGGGCTACCTAACGGAACTCTATCTACTCTTTGTATTTGTATAGTCGGTTCAGTAGCGGGCACAACCAATGACACCGAAGTTCTTTTACCCCCAGCCACTCGTGGCATTTGTGGGCCCATGACTGGTATAACCCCGGGTGCTTGGGTGCCAGAGTCAGGTGTGACTCTCACACGACCACCGGTGACGATGTCCACCTTCACGGC